TATTTATACATCACTTTCTATCACCTCATCGACAGAAAAGTGTGTTGGCAAAATTTTCTTGGATTAAAAAACCTTTTTTTTTTTTAAAAAAACTGTCCAATGACATTATCAAAAAAGTTGTCAAAAAATAAGGTATATCAAGCATGTTTGTAATTTTTTTTTTTTTTTGTCAAGGTGTCCGCCTTCGACGACTATTTCTTGGGTCTGTGATCCGGCCCCTCTTCACACAGATTTGTTAAACCGCTGGATGTGCCTCCAACTGATCAGGGTCCGAGCACCTCTCCAACTGGACTGTCAAAGTGTTTAGTGAGCCAACCCATGTTACGCCTTGCCTTCCAAACCACTCATGCCTTCCGGGATAAATCACGTCTTCCAGTATGTGTCTTGCCTTCCAAGAGCTTCAAGAATCGAATCTACGACCTCTGATTTGCCAGCTTGGAGAGAATCCGTCCTTTGTCAGTGGAAAAGTGCCCGGGGGGCATGTTTGTAATTTTATTTGATGTATGAGTAGATAGTCAAGCCTGATATTAAAGTCAACAACCTATAACTTAACAAAATAAACTATGGTATAATTTTTCAAAAGTGTTGGAGAAATCCAGTCGATTAACTCAATACCTTTTAAAGTATTAAACATAACTAAAATGGTTATTTCAATTTGTAATCTATAAAACTCTTAATTGTGACCATATCTTTTAGGACCAAAGTCCTAAAATATTTATTTATATTTTTTTCATGCAGTGGAACACTATTCATTGATGTTTCCTCGTATGCAGACATGGTAAAATCCATCCCCAAAGATCAATTTAAAGGGGAATTGAAAATAGTTGGGGGACTCTTGTTCCTCTTCTGCAGAGTACAAAGAAGAGTTGGGACTAATTATTACATAGGTCCTCTACTATTTTTTCCATTATTTCTTTTTATAAATTTATTAAACGAAGATAAGTTATTAATGAATGTAGTTTATATAAATATACTGACTTAAATATCACAAACGAATCATTAATCTCGACTCTAATGTCAAACCCTATAATGATTTCTGCTTGGACTTTAGCAGCTATCTCACGTTTCTACTTATTTTTAATTTGGAAATGACTGAATTTCTACGTCAACATCATCAAAATGACAGTTATATGCTTGGATTATAAACCTTTTTCTCACTGAAAATGTCTCTTTTTTTTTTTTCCTGGTTTAAATTAGAGATTATGACTTAGGAGCGAGCATCAAGTTAGAGGTTGCAACATAAGCCCTTGTTTGAGTCCCATTTTGAAGAAAGAATGTATTTTGAATAGTAGGTTGGTGGAGAACGTGTAGTTGAAAATTAAGGAAAAATTTTAAATTTGTGTTTAATATTATTTTATTGAAAAATATCTGATTAAAAATGAATTTAAAAAAAATGAAGTTTTAGAAGAATGTGGCTCAAACGAGGGCTAAGGTGCCCTCATTCTTTAAAATATGAGAGAGAGAGAGAGAGAGAGATTTGTTTTCTAATAAAAAAGTTCAATTAAAATTTTATATATTTTACTGTTTCATCTTATGTAATATCACGTAACAAATATATTTATAAGGTTTTAGATCCAATTTTTGACTTTTGAGTAACAAGACACCGCCAAGATTTCTGGCCGACAGACAAATCTTTGCATACCCCTTTACAGATCTCTCTGATAAAATCAACAAGTGATACCAATTTGATAAATATTTCCAACTAGTAATTGTGGACTTGAAAGCGATGTAAGAATTAAAATTAATGAACAATATGAAATATGTATGATTACAACAAAGAAAATAAGATTAAAATAAAGAAATTGAAGAGAAATTAGCAGAATAATTTATATTTTATTAAAGATTATATGGAAAGAATACAAGAATTCAATAATAAACATTCACCTAAACTGAATGAAGAACCACATATTTATAGGGACGTACCAAACCCTAAAAATATCACAGGTATGTAAATAATATAAAAAGTAATGTGTAATAAAAGAAATAGTAATTTTACAATAAAATCACGTGAAAATAATAAAAGAATATTTTTCAAGAAATCCACTTTAATTTGGGGTACAAAATCTAATAGTAATGGATTGAGAATATCTTTTACAAAGTTAGTAACATTTCAACAACTTTTTTTAAAGTTAAGTGAGATCATCACAAAGTTTAGCTATTTTTGAAATAATTAACCATCAAAAAAGTACTGAAAAATATAAATAAAGTGGAGAATAAGTTCCCATTTGACTCCCATTCTTTCCAAATTTAATGGTTGGAATAATTTTTTTTTGAAAAATGTGTGGTTAAAAAAGAAAAAAGTTTTTGATTTGCGTATAATATTATTTTATGAAAGATTGTGTGGTTGAAAATAAAAATGAGAAGGAAAATGAAGGTCTCATCAGCATTCAGAGATCAAAGTATTATTGGCGATGATCAACAACATCTACAGGTGACATGACTAGGTAATAATTGATGTCTCAATAATCATTGATGATATTATTGTTTATAATTCCATACAAATCACCAACAACTATTGATTTTCATGAGCATAATCTACGGACATCTATTGATGATCGCTTTTTCAATAATTATTTTTGAAAACGCCCCTTGAAGATTTTTGCCCAAGGCTTCCAAATGTGTTTTGAGTTGCTAGTTATGTCTACTTATTGTTACAAGATTTCATTATAAAGAAAGGACTTAATTTACTTGTTGTACACTCGCGTAAGCCCAGCCTTGACATGAGGAGGCTGTAAATGTACAGTCTGAGCTGAACTATACAAGCAGCTCGACCCATAAAGAAAAAGAAGATCGCAATATATTTTATCTCAAACTAAAAAAGAGGCTCGTTCTAACCTCGATCTTGTGCACAACTCTCAATCTTAACCTACCCTCGTGAACTTATACTAGCTCAAAATTGTTTTGACAACAAAAAATTAAAGATCATTCATTAAAGATATTTAAATAAAAATTAGTGTCCCTAATAAAAAATTTAAACTTTATATCATTTTTAAGAAATTCATCGAAGAAATATGTTAATTGTTCGAAAAAGAACTAAAATTTGTCTTTTCACGGAGACATTGTGGAACTTTTAAAATGTTGCTAAAATGTCATTGAACTTTATCAAAATGTTCTCAATCTAACATTGATTGAAAGAATTGGATGGCAGTTTCTGCTCGTTCGAATTTGTCTATCATCTCGTCAATTTGTCCAAGCCGACTAATGAAATGCTAAACTAGTGATGGATGGAGAACATTTTGGCAAAGTTCAGTGATATTTTAACTATACTTTAAAGTTCAATAAAGTTTCGTGACATGACCCAAAGTTCAAATTTTTTTGGGAACAATTAAATACAAGAAAGAATACATCAAATTATTTTCCTTTGTGCTTCAAGTTAAATGTAATGGCATTATGTATCAACTATTAAGCATACACAATATATTATTGCGTGTATGAACAAATGTCATGGCACAAATGAATGAACAAGTCAGTTCGCCTCATCTATCTAAAGCATAGGTAGAAATTGAACCTTGCTACATGTACACTATGGTGTACACTTCAGTTTATACTTTGTCGTATGGTATTACCCTATTGAGCAGTTTAAATTTCAAATAGTTCTTACATCCAATTAACATTTGACAATAATGCTAGTGTCAATCAAAGTATCAAAAATCAGTGTACAAATAGCAAAATTCGGTAGAAATTTACTTTCTCCATTAATTCATCAATCGATCAATCGACTTTAAATTGAACTCACTCTTATGGGCGAGTATTTTCTCATTACTACTGTACCATTTGGGGAATATCTGCTACTTTGTAACCATCATGTGTAAAATATAAGCAACTTATAGTTTTTTTGCCTGCAAACGAAAGGTGGTAAATGGAATTTTCATAAGAAAAATCGAATGGTGCATTGGTGATATGGTTGAAAAGATTTAGTGGTCTTGTGCCAAAAATGCCTTGAATTTATTATATTCATGCCCCCAATCCCATAACCCCCACCCCATATAAAGAGGTGGGATTTTTGCTCTTATCCCTGACATGACTGAAAGAGGACACAACAGAGGAATTCAGCTCTGGAATGACAATGCCATTTTACTTAAGCAATGAGCCAATTTCATTCAATGCAAAGCACTACCAACCAAAGCTTCGTGGGATCCCACTGTCCAGCTAACCCCGGCCAATAATGCAAATTTAAACGTACAAAATGAATGCTCAGTTGCAGCTAACACAGATGTGTGGGCCCCAAATGGATCGCGGTGGCAGAATAAAAGTGGCTGTGTCCCTGATGCAGTGATAAAGGCACGCCTTGTAAGAACAAGTAATCCTTCTCGATTTGAGGAAGAGAGATGGATAGATGATTGCTTGGAGGACAATCGACACAATACGATCCTCCATTCGAAAGGAGATTGTTGTGAGAGTACGAACAAACTCTCTCATCAATTAGAAATGTGATAAATGATGAACTTATAAAAAATTGAATTACTCCATCTAAAATGGAACTTCGTTTCCCTATTCAAACAAGTCTAGTCTTACCATATTAGTAAGCTACTTATTATACTTCTAAAAGAAAAGCTCCACGGCCTTCTCCATCAATTTCCTTAGAAGGCCGGTTAGGATTATTTTGTTAAATGAAAAACTCGCATGTTCTCATTGATTATTATAACCGTTTGCAAATCACAGGGGATGAGCATTGTACAACATTTGTTCTATTTATTCTCTACATTTCCAATTTTATACCAAGCTAGCCCTTTCCGCCCCTCGCCCTTCTATGGTGCACGTTGATTTAGCGAGTAATAATGTGCGATAAAAATGCACGGCAAAATAACAAGAATTATCAATCCAAGAAGATGAAAGAGATGAATTATATGATCAACAAACTTATTTAATGAACGCGTAAAGAGTAAATTGATATTGACAAGTGTTGACCTAACACGATACATTGAAGTATCATTGGCGCATCAAATGTACTGAGTTCAAGTCTAATCAAACTTATATTTTTTCTAACTCGGACGGAGAAATGCACTGGAGTACTGATGTGTACCATCCACCTGAATTTACATATGGTAATGTTCATCTATAAGCTAAAGCTTAACTAAGATCCATGTGAGTTCAATCACCAAATACCCCATTAATAAGGCTTTACCTCAGTAGTAAGTCTGTGTTATACCTACACCCAAGATGCCACTGCTCATAGTTATATATGAACCACAAGTCCCTTATTACCAGGATAGCACGATAAACATATAGTTCACAACATTGACTTGATAAATCCTACTTAACTAGCAAACTACTAAAGCTAGCACATTCAAAAAGTAACTGAAAACGATGTGTTACACAAGCCTAGAGATCAAATAGGGGGATTCCAGATTCTAAGAACCAGATAAAAGCAGACGAGACCCTGCCAGCTTGATCATGATTAGGTTTAGGCTAACTCATCATTGCGCTTCCTCTTTGAAGGTGTCCGCTTTCTCTTTGCCGATTGATTTTCGGGCTTCAAACCAGGAGTCCCAAAATAATGAGCAGAAAGGCCTGGGCCACTAAGCTGCAAGTCTGTGTCCACATCAGATGCAACACGTGCAAGGGGATTGACTGCAAGAAGCACAAAATTGTCAAGGATAGTCATCATTACCTCAGGGATTGTTGGTAATACATAAAACATTTTTCTACACATTTGGGCTAAACATTAATAAAAATCTTGAAGTTCAGGCATAAAAAATCTCAATAGTTACTGCTCAGATTATAAAAATCATAACATGTATTCACGAATGAGTTTCATTCAACTAAAGGAGGTAATGCATTAGGACTAAAATTAATAGGTAGAAAGAAGCAAATACACAAGCATGCAAGGCGAATCGATCAACGATATATTTTGAGACAGTCGGAACATTATCAATAACGAACAGAATTCGATCATCCCTAAGAATATGTGAGTTTTTCAATAATTCTTGCACAGAAAATGTTTTTTGTGCAGAATGTCTCCTAACTGTTTTCATCAGATGGACAAGTTTCAAATAACTGGAAAATAAATCAGATTTGTTACTAATTTTCATTTCCCAAGGACACTTAAAAAAACTCTAAAAAAAGTTTCCCAAGACACATAAAAAACTCCAAAAACGATTATATAAATAATTAGAAAATAGTTCAAAGCAAATAAGACACATTTGACAAAGACCACAAAATATATTAATCTACATGACTATTTTGTAGTATCTTTCAGATTTTGGTTTGATGAAAAAGCTTAAAAGCATGAAACACAGATGATATTTAGAACAGTAGATCAACCTTTTGATGGGTCAAGGCATTCTGGCATTCCATCATCATTGGTATCATAAGATGCAGCACGAGGACGCTTGCTCACATAGTTTTGTTGCAAAGGTCTTGGAATTTGAAATGAAAACTGTGACAAGCTAACTTCTTTGTATTCTGGATGTTCATTCAGGTACCTAGAAAGATAAAAAGCATCACAATACCACAAAACAAATGCAAGGAAAGCAATGGATCCAGAACTCTTAAATATTCAGCCTCCAACATCATCCATTAGCATATTACGTGGGTATGGAACAATCACACACTTATTTGATTATGGATCTACTTCTAGAAATTCAATGCATAATTTCAGCATTCATTGTACATCCCTGAATAATTTCATGTTACAATTATTGAACCATTTTATTTTAACAAGTTCTATGTTAACCACATTAGTCGACATTCCGGCTATACCCAGAGGTTTCAAAGAGCGATAAGAAAGCCTTAAATAAAAGAAATATGACAGAGATACAAAAGAGGAAAAAGAAGAAAACAGTTGTAGTACAATAATACCTTTCAACTAATTCCTCCATCCCTCAAATGAAAAAGCAAAAGAATCACCATCACATCCTTTTAACACCCCCAACACGCCAACCAAAATAATAATTAAAAAAATACAAATACAGTTTATATTTTCTTTTTCCTTCGTTTGCATTTTATACATGAGATTCTTTGATTTTGTTCCTTTGACTTGGCCAGCAGTGAAAGGAGGGCAATGTTTGTGGTGGTTGGAGTAGAGTGGTGGATGTGGATTCAGGGGGTGGTGGCTGAGGTTATGAATAGTGTGTCAGAGGTTGTGAGGCATCTGGTGTAGGTTGGATGGAGGGGTGAGTGGTGAAGACTGAGATGCAATGAAGAGGAAAAGATGGCAAGTGCAGATTGAAGGAAAACTTTCTAGTTTCAGTTTATTTTTATTTTTTCTGAAGAATTTAACTTTAGTCAAATATAAAATATTGATGGGACCCTCTTATTTATAGAGATGTATTAAGAAAACAAACAAAAATCGAGGCATTAATGATCAAGGGGGAATTTTACCTTTGAACTTCCACAACAGATCGAAGTCTCTTGCCTGATGGTGCAAGATAATACCTGTGGGTATTGAAGACAAAACACAATTTGAATAGGAACATAACTGTTTCTTTACCATAATATTAATACTATGTTAATTTTTCAAATGATACCAACACGGATATCAAATTCATTACGTGTTATACGCTTTTAATCTGTTGAGTAAATAAATCTCCAATGCAACACAAGCATAGCTCCTATTGAAATTCTTTTCCCCGGACTCTTATAAAGGCAAATCAGAAAAATAAATTCCTCTTCTATGAAATTGATTCAACAGGTATGCAAGAACTGAAATTCTTACTCTCCATTGATAAATTTTTATATTGATGCATTTTATTATGCTTCATCCTCATACAAAAGTAAGCACTTCATAGTATTGGCAAATCAGGAGAATGGGTTTCCTCTCCATGGAAAATATTCAATTCTCTAATCACCACCATTTTAACTCTGAACCAATTCTACGATTGTTTAACCCTCTATGAAGCAATCACTTCGCTATGTGGGAAAGTCACGTGGATGAGTTCCTTCACTATGGAATTAATTCGACACTCAAATGAACTGGACATCTAAATGGAAGCAATTAACCCATAGAAAGGTTGCGTTACAATGTTGCAAACATCAGTATAAAAAATAAATAAGCACAAAAAAAAAAAAAAAAACCTTATGTATCATAAATTTGATTTTGCGTGTACATTAAGGGGTGCATTTTAATGATTTTTCATGATTGGTCGATATTATGGGAAAAATAGGGTCATAGAAAAAAAAAAAAAAAAGGGCATTTTAATGATTTTTCATGATTGGTCGATATTATGGGAAAAATAGGGTCATAGAAAAAAAAAAAAAAAAAAAAAAAAAAGAAAAAAAAAAAAGAAGGACAATACGAGGAAGTGGCAATAATTCTATGGACATTATTTGATTATATTAGATATGGAGTTATGGACAACAATAAGAATTCCCTATGCAACTATTTATCCTCCTATATTAATTTCTAGAATTCATTTCATAACATTCAACATCTCAAACAAGAAAATAAATTTTAAGCATTAAAAATAACAAGTATTTCAAATTTAATTGGATAAAAATTTGATTGATGCTTCAAAACAAATGGCACTAAACTAGTCTAAAATATCTATAATACTTGTTTAAGAATAATATTTTTAACTTCTAAATGAAAAACTGGATATCTTTGCAAGGCATGGGCTCCATGTTGTCCATGCTCAGTTCCATAGTTTGCCTTAAATGCTATTTCAAATAAATAGAGCAAAGAATCATAAGAAAAATGATGCTTACACATCTGCAAACTTTGTACTTCTTTCACCTCTGATTCTTAAAATCCGTTGCCATCCAGGAGGAGGTCGGGCAATGTTGGGTTTGTCAATTGCCCAAAGCCTACTTCCATCTTGCGCAATATCAGGCTGATCATTGCATGATATCTCAGGTTGCCACTCACGAGCAGTTTCACACAAGAAAGGCCGTTCTATAATGTGTTCCCTTATTTCCTCATACTTGTCCTGTGAGGGAATGAGCCTCCATTTGAAACAGTTGGCGCATTGAACAGCAAAGGCCCCTATAGATCGCAAAACACCTGGTGTCCGATTTGGAAAATCAATGGGGCCCGAAACAGGTTCCATTTCACCAGTACCAGTGGCAGCAGGGTCATAAGGCACCAACTGCTTTTGAGCATTTTCAGAAGATTGATTTCCTTCATCTTCCATATTATTATTCACTATCCTTTCTGTAAAGGCAACATCTCTTTTAACCTCAGGAGTGGTCTCCAGGCCACCTGGATGATTTGAACTATTTGAGACATTTGGTTCTCCTTCCATGTTCATTGATAATTGCTTCCCCCCTTTTCAATCCTTGACATTAAGTTTATGATGGAGGCTGCATCATGTTGATCCTTCAATGCCTTATTTCCAAGGAATTAATCAGCAATCACAGCTGCTTTTACCCCAACAAAGCTTCAAGAACTTGCAAACACCAGTGAATGGCCAAAGCTAGTAGAAACTAATCAGTGAATGATGTTTATTGCAGAAAAAGCTTCAAGAACTGCCAATACAAAGATAAATTTTTCTTCAATCTTATCCTTATATTTTGAAATTTTCTGAAAGAACGTATAGCCAATATAATCAAAATCATCATTTAAGATGAAAGCCCAACCAAATGTACAGTCCTATATGAGTAGATTATTATGAAAAATGAAAGATGAAAACGAGCAGTTTGATCTTCATACCTTCTGACAGAAAGGCAGCAGCCCTTATTTAGATACAGAAGAAAACATGTAAATAAGCGCAGGCAATCCATGGCAAGAGGCAGATATAATATAAAGCTCCAAATGTTCATATATTGATATTTATCTTTAACTAACACCATCTCTTAGAGGATGCCCAACAGTAGTACAGCACAGGAGTACAAGGATGCCAAATACAATCATCTATCTTTCCTCAAATATGCTTGCCAGAAGCAATGTGTACATGGCTAGATAAATGTTAACATGGTGACACCAAAAACATCTTGAGAGAGGAGATAATGCATATATGACAACTCTGAAGACAAAAGGGACATGGTGTCTTCAAACAAGAACAGAAACATAATGTCATAAATGCTAAAGTGTTCTCGAAGTTGTTTTTAAAGACGCTACCACTTTCAAGTATCACCTTCATTAAATATTCACAACGTATTGCAAATTTCATAGGTCTTCTAATTTTGAGGATTCCAAATTCTTGCACCACATTAGACCATAACGAATAAGTATTTGTGCAATAAAAGAAAAATCAGCCTTGTTTGACAATCATAAAGACTTTAAAATAAGTTAAATAACCATCGTAGATTTCTATGGACGAGCTGCTATATGACATGCAAATCCACAATTTGATTACATCAATGCATATACCTTGGCAATACATTATAATAGAATGATAAATTCCGACAGCATCACGAACAAACAGAATTTGTTTATTCTAAATTCTAACTTACATAAGAAAGCACTATTCGTACAGTAAAACAAGATCAAGTCTTGTTCAACAATCAGAAAGACTGACAAACAAAAATGTAGTTCTGACTCCGAAAACAACGGATGGCATTCCACTACTGCATCGTTTAGAGACTATAAAGTTAAGTACATACACACATGCTAAGATGGACTCTATACACACAAATAGCCATCCTAACATGTCATGGTAAAAAAAAATAGAATTTCACAAGTACGGAACTCACATTATCACATTCAACCGAATAGAAAAACATGTCCAACCAAAAATGAAATCGAATGTTATGAGAAAGGGTTTACAAAATAATTTAAAATTTTCTAAAAACGAAACCATGTCAAAATTTATATTTAAAAAAAAAAAAAAGAAAAGAAAAGAAAAATGCTTACAATGAAAAACTTCAAACATCTAGAACAGATCAAGAAATGTACAGACATAGGAAAGTTAAACAGTTGAGTTTATCATAAATCTTGAGCTATCTCTCTACATACAACCATATATACACAGATACACCGGGGGGCGGGGGGGGGGAGAGAGGGGAAGAAAATTTACAGAAATTAGGATCGGCGAGATCTGAAAGGGATGATGATCAACAAACCGTCGATTTTTTCCGATGATTTCTAAATTAATGCAAATTCGTATATTTGCACGATTTGTTGCCGGGGTTTTGTTCACCTCGGGACCGGGGATTGGTAAAGAGGGAGTAAATTTAACCAATACTGTTAAAGGTTGAACCCAACCTTATGGTTCCCCGTCGCTGCTAAGCTGAAGTATTGTGAGCGAGATAAATCGCAGGTTATGTCTCCAAGGGTATAAGGTGGAAGGTTGCTTGTACACTTGTACTTATCCAAGAGCCAAATCCATATTTCAAGATTCGAACCCTTGACGCGATAGCCTCAAGTAAAGCTGGATTTCTCCACCCTCCCTTTTTACCACTTGGAGATGTGCCCTGAGGGCAACCAATACTGTTACTGCTTGCTCACGATGCTGACTCATCTTTTTGTATAGTACTCTTCGATCACTCTTCTATTCAAATAATTTGACGATTTTTACGGTAACTTTTCGACAATATCCGATCATCAAGAATGTCGAATTTTGTTATCGTTAGAAAGCCCATGATGTCCTCTTTAATTACCACCCAAAATCTCCCTATAATTCCAACGGATTTGATCGGAAAATTGCCTTAAAATTCGTCCAAAAATTCTGAAAATCTGCCCAAATTTCCAGATTTTTTGAGCAAATTTTAAGGTAATTTTTTAGCAACTTTCGACCATCAAAACTTCTGGATTTTGATACCGTAGGAAAGCCCACGATATCCTCTTCAATTACCACCCAAAATTTCCTCATAACTCCAAAGGATTCGATCGAAATAAACCCACAAAGTTAGCATCTCGAACTTTGTCCAAATTTTCGCCGTTTCGGGATACTAACTTTGTGGGTTTATTCTGATCGAATCCTTTAGAGTTATGGGAAATTTTGGATGGTAATTGAAGAGGACATTGTGGGCTTTTCAATGGTATCAAAATTCGACAGTTTTGATGGTCGGAAGTTGTCGAAAAATTGCCTTAAAAGTTGCCCAAAAAATCTGAAAATCTGGGCAGATTTTCAGAATTTTTGGACGAATTTTAAGACAATTTTCCGATCGAATCCCTTGGAATTATAGGGAGATTTTGGGTGGTAATTGAAGAAAATATCGTGGGCTTTCCAACGGTATCAAAATTCGACATTCTTGGTGGTCAAAAGTTATCGAAAAGTTGTCGCAAAAGTCGTCTAATTATTTGAAGAACGAGTGGTGGATGAGTAATTATATGGAAAGATGAGTGAGTATTCAGTAACCCATAAAAAATGAGTGAGCAAGTAGTAACCAAGTTTAAAGTTCAATAAGCAATGGTTAAATTTACTCGTAAAGAGGGGGAGGGTGAGAGAACAGATGATGATTTGCTGTATGATTTTGGTCCTGAAAATTTAAGATAAATTTTATTTTAGTCACTCAACTTTATTTTTCGTAGAAATTTTGCTACAATGATGATTCCGTTGCAAAATTCAACATTCTCTCCTACTTGCTCGAATATTGGCATTCGGGATGTAGAAATGCTTGTCACTCCTTTGTGCATTGTCCCAACCCTCAAGAGAATTGAGGACAAGGACATAATTCTTACCCAAATCCACGTCGATTCTTCTACTTATATTTTAAATAATCTTTTTAAAAAATGAGAGTGCCCTCGTTTGGTAGTAATTTTTTCACCTCAAAAATAAAAAATTTGATCATTATTTCACTATTTTAGCCATCATTTTTTACTTCTTTACTTATATGTGGAACTCAATTTTCTCTCTAATGATCAAAAAATCAATTCTTATAATCATTATCAAACAGGCCCAATATAAATTGAACAGGAAATGAGGATATTTTAATCTCATCCTGTCCTTGAGTAATTTTTTTTTTTTTTTGGTATTCTAAAATCTATTAATGAGTTTTATTTTGTTTTTATTGATAAAAAAATAAAGGTTCCAGCAATATAATTTATATTTTTCTTGCACGACAAATCACTTTTATTGTGAACTTGTTTTGGTATTAGCTTATTCGATCAATTGGAAGCAATATGAACTTATACTTTTAGCTAAAAAATAAATAAATGAGAGTTTAACTCTTATGTAATAAAAATGCTTGTCGTATATCATTATTTGCAAATTCTTTTACAGATGATAAAGGTGGCAAAACGAAAGTGTGGGAATTTTATTTATTTTTAGATGGTGAAATTTTGACTCAATGATATTTCGCCACATCATCTTTTGATAAACAAATATGCAAATTATGATATAAATGTAACATAATTGTTATGTAAATAGAGTTTTAAATCTGAAAGCCAGTGTTAATGCATAATTAGACAGCCAAAAAAATCCCATTATCTCTGGTTAAGAATGGGGCAACGAGGCAGGGAGTTGAGAAGGGCCTCCTATTCCCAGTCCTCAAAATTTAAAAAGGACAGAACAATCCCATCAAATTCTAATTGGTGAAATTAAAATCAAAATCAAGATTTCAATTCAAGTGAAAGTCGACAATTAATTTTAATTGCGCATTTTCACAGGATTCACAACTTTAGAATCACACATTTCATCAACTTTTACCAAAATTTATTAAAAATTCTAATTTTGATCTCTACCAAGGAGGGACTAAATTACAAGCATTTGCATTGGTTGCTAACTCAGAATTCCCAAAAGAAAACAAGTTCAATTTACATAAAAAAAGGTTACGGGTCAAAAAAAATGAGTCGATGACTACGTCTTGGGATAGAGTATTGTGGTCATCTTCTTTTTGTTCTTCCTCTCGACTCACAGGTTCGACCTCGACAACGACAAGAAGACATTCTGTTTGGAATGGTTGCAAAGTTTTTAGTAGGGTGAATGTAACGGTTGAAGTTGTATCTTGATTGTTAAATACCTGATGAATTTCATCTCTAGGGGCAACGTTAGATGCTGAGGATCGATGGTTGTCTTGTGAAGTCAAGGACGTTGGAATGATACAAACTTGAAATGAAAATAAGAACGGAAATTGGAATGATGTTTAGATTGATACAAGATTTAAAACTTTTTGTCCTCAAGACGAATTTGCTAAACATAGGTGTCAAAGGTGGAATGACAATGTCTCCCAAGATACAATGATCTCTTCTTGGGATGGCAGCACTTCAAATTACAAGAAATAACGAATCAGAATAATGTTTTCATGCTCCTTTTGAATGAAAAGAAAGAAAACTATGATGTAGAATTTCTTGAAAATAATGATGTTTATGGATGGTATGATTGTAATCTGAATGGATGAATCCAATATGGAGGGGTCTAATTTATAAATATTGAAGGGTTGTAGTCGGAGAGACACAAAAAATCAACATGTTCACAAACAATCATATCTATTCGCAGACCGCTCGCTTGGTACCCCATGAACTGCTCGAGTCATCAATTTATTTAGGATTTTTTGGAATTACTTAATTTCCCAAATTAATATTATCAACTTCACCTCATTCGTTCAAATTTCAAATATACCGAACTTATAATCATGGAGTAGAATATGTTCGACCAATTTTCCACTGCAATCGAATGGATAGACCTACAAGAGACTTCTTTGATAGCCGTTTGATCCAATGCCTCAACTTTATTCAATTTTTCATACGCCAACAACACATACGACTATGCACCCATTTATCATGGAAGTATAAGATGTAAAGGTGAAGCTTCATCGTCATTCAACTATGGCGGTGATGACTATACCGTAACTTAAAAGAGTTTTGTGTTGAAGAAAGTAACAAGATTTTTATTCCCAAAAATACATAATGATGTAGAATGGGATTTTCTCCATTTGCTATTTTCAGTTAACAAGTAACCTCAAATGTTGTTTTAGATTAACAACTAAGGTAAGAATAAAACCCATTCGTACATGCCTAACATTTTCACATTTTTTACCACCAAATCCAACTCAATTTCACCGAAAACATTACATCAATTTTGTCAAAATCTGTAGTATATAATTCTCTTGAATCCTCCAATCCAAATAACTGAAGCAGTAACCATTAATCAACTTCGTGACCTACATATACGCGCGTGTGTATATATATATATATATAAAGGTTGAATCCCAACCTTAAGGGTCTCTCACCGCCCCTGCCCTAGAGTATCGTGAGGGAGGTAAATCGCAGGTTATGTCTCCAATGGAATAGGGTGGAAGGCTGCTTGTACACTTGCACTTACCCAAGAGTCAAATCCATATTTCAGAATTTGAACCCTTGACGCGGCAGTCTCAAGCAAAGCTGGATTTCTCCACCCCCTCCTTTTATCACTTGGAGATGTGCCCTGGAGGCTATATATATATATAAGCTTAGATGGTCAATGAACTTTGAAATTTGTTTCCACTTAAAATAATTATTCGATAGTCTAGATTACGTTTTGAAATGTGTTTAAGCGCACATGTTAATGATTACGTTTTACTATTGCATTGCCTTGCACTAGCCAAAACATGGATTGTTTATTTTCTGTCCCCGATTGGCTCCCATTTTTTTCAAATTTTAATATTTAGAATATTGTTTTTTTTTAGAATGTGTGATTAAAAAAGAATGAAAAGTTTTAGATTTACATGTGATATTATTTTATGGAATATTGTATGGTTAAAAATAAAAGAGAGGTAAAAATGAGAGAGAATGGGGGCCAAATGGGGGCGGATTGTCCTTTTAATTTCTGGCCAAAGATTTTTTTGAACTAATTCACAAATCACAATGTGGAATGCTATACAATGATGTTGAATTTGAAACTTGACAAGAAATAAAATATCTGTTTCAAAACTATGATTATATTACCAAAAAATAATAATAATAAATAAAGGTACTCGAACAGGATAAAAAAATAGGGATTTTCAAACACCGAAGTGACATTAGTTTTTGGCTATTTGGAGGAAAGTATAGCAAAGTGGAAATTACATTTAAAAAAATGGCTTTCATAAACAACAAAACGAATTATTCTCTCTCCACTTTGTTGTAAACCAAAAAAGCCCACACGGACCGATGTTTGACATCCATATTTATGCGGTTTACCGTCTAGATGAGATAAATTAATTAAAAAAAATAAAAAATCACTTCATCGTTCAATTTTTTTACACTGAAACCCAACAATCTTCTTCATGCAGAGAAGATAGGCCGTTCGAATTATTATCTTAATTACTTAAAGAGAGTCGAAATAAAATGGACAAAAATATATATTTATTGTTTAGCAAAATGAAAAACAAATTGATTTTGATTTTCCTCATTGTTAAAGATAACAGAATTGATTACAAAAACCTGCCAATTCCTGAGGGGAAACAATGTTGGGTTCATTCCAAAAAGAACCTTTTTTTTTTTTTTTCTAAAATAAAAAAGGTAGAAAAAGAGAACAAGCAATAAAAGAAAAATAAGCCACAAGTTAGCCCCTAATTGACTTATTTAGAAGGACATTATACAATTTTAAGGTTTACCCAAAATCTTTCCAGCAACAATAGCAGCATCGATGACATCTTTGATAACATCGACAACTTCATCAACATTACATGTGTTTCCGTTGAAATTGGGAGCTCTTGATTTCTTGAACCTGTCTACACAGTTGAGGAATTCTTGATTGCACTGTTGGCTCAAATAACCTGGCACACCACACCATAACAGCGTCAAAAATTTGAGTTTATAATTTTAACTTTTTTGGATAAAGTTAAAATTCTCGAAACGTGAGTATGTGAAGCACAATTAAAGTAATTACAAAGGAATTCACACAATAACATCGTCAAAAGTTTGAGTTTATAATTTTAACTTTTTTGGGCAAAGTTAAAATTCCCGAAACGTGAGTATGTGAAGCACAATTAAAGTAATTACAAAGGAATTCACACAATAACAACGTCAAAAGTTTGAGTTTATAATTTTAACTTTTTTGGGCAAAGTTAAAATTCCCGAAACGTGAATTCCTTTGTAATTACTTTAATTGTGCTTCACATTGTTATGTTTAAGGATCTATTTGTGAGCTAATAACACAATTTGGCCAACTTCATTTTTCGACCCTCTTTTAAGAATAAGTTATTCTTAATTTTTATTAGGGCCTGTTTGATACAAGCAATTTTTATTTATTTTTTTATTTTTTTTATGGAAAATGGAATTATTTTCTATCTAAATGTGTTGTTTGATAGATAAAATTTTTCATGGAATTCATTTTCCACCCTACCCCCGCATGACCCAAATTCTTGGTTTTGAAAGAAAATTTTTTCCTTTGGTTTTGATGAGAAAATGTTTTTCAAATTTTTTTGGCAATAAAAACAAATTCTATCCCTTTATTGACAATTTTCATGGAAAACAAAACCAAACAAACACCAAAAATCCAAAATTTTAATATTTTTAGGGAAAAATTATATCAATTAAACACATTTAATTAACAATTCCCAATAAAACAAGTTTTAGTCAATTCAATTTCCTGAAATTTATTTTCTTCCCACTCAAATTTCATTTTTACAATCAAATGGACCCTGATCAAATGAAAAATACTCTACTGGAAATGATCATCATCGTAGACAAGACACTCGATACAACCAAATTGAATATAGGGAAAGTCATTTATGTCACTTCTTGAAGGGAAGTGTTATAATTGTGTTCAATATTCCAAAGTGACTAATCGACGGGACGGAGCTACATGGTGTCATGTGGGGACCATTAAGCTACGTAATTCCTGAATTTTGTATTTTTTTTTTTTCCTTTCCTCAAGATTTAATTTTTTTTTTTTTATTCCTCTCTCTATCGAGGGTTACGCACGTCCTTCCATATATACCCAAATTTGATATCACTAATTAATTTATCATTCCGGCCCAATACTTAGGATTTCTTTATAACACCAAAATCGAATGTCTCACCTGCTCAACTTGTCAAAATTTCAATCAACAGACTACCTCTCCTCTCATTTCTCAAGTTTCAACCACGATTTTTGGTACCTACTTTTAACTCCCCACAATGGAACAAGTTTTATGAGGATGACATGTGTCAGTCACTAATTGGACAGTTTAAAAAAATAAAAAACACCCGTGTATTCTATTGGCTTAAGAAAAGCGACAGGATTAAAATTAGAATAATGCTATTCGTAGTGAATACTACCAGCAGTTGCCCTATGTTGCGTACACTTGACAGTTTTTCATTTGATGTATAATTCAAAAAATAACTACCAAATCTATATATCAAATACCAAATTGTCAAGTGTATACCACATAGAGCGACTACTGGCAGTTTTCACTACGAATAGCATCACTCTTAAAATTAACACTTCATCTGCTCTGTTGAAATAGAAAAACTTACTGCCTTTAATTTGTATGCACCGATCATGCTTCATACAACAAGCATCTAAGCGGTCACAAGGTTGCTCTCCTGGACATCCACTGTACAGAAATCCACAGTATTTCCCATATCTTAAGAATGGAGACACTTCAAAACAACAAGAAACATTAAATCCAATATTTGATGCTAATTTATCTCCTACTCCTCTAAACTATAAATTTTTTGACAGAGAAATGAGGGTACTGTACCTCCACAGAACTTCGATTCACATGTTCTACTGCATTCTTTACTCTACAAAATAAGAAAACCATGTAAGCTACAATCTTTACAAACAAAGAATTGTCGTCGATGGTCTGGTTGAGTTAGATGATCAAGAACTAACCAGAGAGAGGTCTCCATTTGCATGAATGCCAATGTTTAGGGCATGAATGGGAATAGCAGAAAAGATGAGGCTAGTGACAATGGAGAAGAAGAGAAATGGAGCTAACTTCAATGACTTTGCAGGGGAAGCCATTGAAGACGAAAACACTGAAAAATGGAAGCTTGGTTTTGATTAAAAGCTCTGATTTACAGGAAGAAATAAAGGATGGTGGGGAAGAAAAATGTCTGAATGGGAATGACCAACTAGAGGTAAATGTTTGTCTTGTAATGTCTCGTGACTTGATTTTGTAGTCTTGTGCTGCTCACATTTCTCACCCAAAAGTGAATTATCTTTTGGAATGAGTTACAAGTGGGAATAATATATAGTTGTAGAAAATTACATGCATAGGCATTGTCTGAGATAATTGACTATTATTATTATTATTATTATTATTATTATTATTATTATTATTATTATTATTATTATTATTATTATTCATTTTAAAAAATACAAAGACATCTCGTGAAGTTTTCTTCCAAAATATATTCAGCTTTAATTGCAAATTTAAAAATTATAAAAAGGAATCTTTCATGCAAAACAAACATAAAGGTTTGATCTATACTACTATAATTATTCGATAGTCTAGATTACGTTTTGAAATGTGTTTAAGCGCACATGTTAATGATTACGTTTTACTATTGCATTGCCTTGCACTAGCCAAAACATGGATTGTTTATTTTCTGTCCCCGATTGGCTCCCATTTTTTTCAAATTTTAATATTTAGAATATTGTTTTTTTTTAGAATGTGTGATTAAAAAAGAATGAAAAGTTTTAGATTTACATGTGATATTATTTTATGGAATATTGTATGGTTAAAAATAAAAGAGAGGTAAAAATGAGAGAGAATGGGGGCCAAATGGGGGCGGATTGTCCTTTTAATTTCTGGCCAAAGATTTTTTTGAACTAATTCACAAATCACAATGTGGAATGCTATACAATGATGTTGAATTTGAAACTTGACAAGAAATAAAATATCTGTTTCAAAACTATGATTATAATACCAAAAAATAATAATAATAAATAAAGGTACTCGAACAGGATAAAAAAATAGGGATTTTCAAACACCGAAGTGACATTAGTTTTTGGCTATTTGGAGGAAAGTATAGCAAAGTGGAAATTACATTTAAAAAAATGGCTTTCATAAACAACAAAACGAATTATTCTCTCTCCACTTTGTTGTAAACCAAAAAAGCCCACACGGACATGTTGTGGTGGTAAAGTATGAGGGTTTTCTACTGAGTATCGGAGATTTAAATCCTCGTGACAGTTGGAAAGTAACATTTATGTTGAAAGGTAGATGTCCTGTAAAGACAAAATTATAGTGCACTTTGTCGCCTCTCGAAGAGTTCTATCCGCAAGTCGTAAAAGAGGTCCGCAGGGAGGAGAATTGCATGCTGAATGTTTGGCCTAAGTGTGTATAAGTTGTGATCGCATCCGATTTGCTCAGGTGGCAAACAAAGGGGGAAAGCTGCACTCCTCTGGATTAGTCAGACGAAACTCGAATACCTGAATCATAAAAAAAAGCCCCAAAATTCACCGTCGCTTTACCCACTATCTTTGACATTAGCTTTTGGAATAGGCACAACATAGTGGACCACTCTCACTCGTGTTCCCTAGTAAAATTTGCCCCAAATTAAAAACAAAGAAAGCTACTATTTTGAGGGTAAACAAAAACCTAACTGTATTTGGCAACTAGTTATTTTTTGATTAATTTGGGGAATTTCGACAAATGTACGTGAGACACACATCAATCGCGAATTTTAGATCTGCTTTTTAGCCTGTTCAAATAGCACTTCAATCACACTTGAAACTCAAAAAAATCAGCCATTTTACAAAGTCCAACCACAATATGATCATTGTTATCGATTTATTCAATAATGCATAATTTTTTTTGTAATTAATTACACTTGGAAGCTTAAATTTCATGAACTTGAGGTTGATAACATAAGACTTTTAGGACTTGTGAACGCGGTAATGTTTTTGTGGAAACACATTTCAAGAATCGTGTCTGTGTCTTGCCTGTATGAGTAATTAGCTTTGGCCAGTTCTATTAGGTCAGACATGCAAGCATTTGCTTTGTTATTAGCAGCAAGGTATTGTCCAACATTGCACAACTACCACAACTTCCGTATTTTATGTTTCTTACCAAAATTTGTCATGGTTCATGAACTTCTTATTTATGATTTTTTACTTCATTTACGAAAACTTTAATAATATAGCTTTACAGAAAATTATTTCAGTTACAACAATTGATACTGAACATGACCACTATTTTTATATCGATGCAACTGACACTTGAATGTGCATATTCGAATGTTTTCTTCATATTTGCAGTTGTTTCAAATGCATGTTTAGCTTTGATGCACATACAGTCTAATATGACATCTAGCACAAGTAAGAAATTGATGCAAATTAAGGGCCTGTTTGAGCCACATTATTCTAAAAATATATATTTTTAAACAGTGATTTAACATCATTTCAACCACACATCCTTCAATAAAATAATATTACATGTAGATCAAAAAGTTTTCCTTATTTTTTAACTACACATGTTCCATCAATACACTATTCAAGAATGCATTATTACCAAAATAATGTGGCTCAAACACCCCCTAATTTTAGTATTATTTAAAGTATCAAAGAGTCATGGTCTACTTTTATGCAAAGTCTTTGTTTCAATTAATTGTGTTGTGAAGTCAAGGAATTCCATTTGTTTTCCTATATTAATTTATTTGAAGTTTGGGTATTCTAAGGGTCATTATTGAAGTCAAGAAGTCATTGTTTTACTTTAAATATAGTCAAGAATGTAACTTTGAGATCAGTTTTATCATTAATATTATTGAAAGTTTACCTAGAACCCTCTTAAAGGCTTTTTCCAGATTTTTCTTAATAAATCTTGGCTCCAACAGTGTTTGGAGTATTTTAATCTTGGTTACTTTACTTTCAGCTGTCATTAAGTGGTATCAGAACTAGGTTAGGTCTATTATCACAGCAGATCCATAGTTGGACAAGGTGATAATAGAGTTGTTGAAGGAGTTACCAAGGAGGAATTTCAGAATCTACAGCAACAGATAGCCCAATTATGCTCTAGATTAGAGAAGTCTGGTCTATTAGAAGTTACTCAACCTCCTAACATGGAGCAAAGGGAAGGCCCAATCTACAATCAGCAAAGAAATGCGAGAAATCCACCTGAACAAATTCAGCCGTTACAAGATGAATCTTCAAATGAGGAAAGGAATGCAAATCTTTTTAGGAGACAACATCATGCACGTGACCAAGACTCACACATCAAGTTAGAAGTTCCTGACTTTAGTGACGAAGAACAACCGGATGAAGTCCTAGATTGGTTAAATGAAGTGGAAAGAATCTTTGAGTTCCTTGACTTTCTTGAAAATAAGAAAGTGAAATTGGTGGCTATAAAGTTAAAGGGCTATACTTCTTCTTGGTGGCAACAAGTTCATATGACACGAGTCCAATCTGGAAAAGACAAAATCCAGAGCTGGCCAAAGATGCAACGGATGATTCGAAGCCAATTTCTTCCATTAAATTATGAAGGAATTCTCTTCTAGCAATATCAGTCACTTCAACAGGGAGAATTGACTATTCGAGCGTATACAAATGACTTTTACAAAGTGAAAACACGGGTGCAACTAGGTAAAACTGAAGTTTAGGTGATACATCGTTATTTGATGAGCTTAAAGCCAAGTATTCGAAATTTTGTGGAGCTACAACATTGCAGGACATTGTCTAGTGCTGTCCAACTTGCAATGAAGGTGGAAAGCCAACAAAGGCAACCTATCAGCCGTTATACTCAGGCTGGGAGGGAACATGGCCAATTTAATGTAAATCTCACTCAAGACAATGTTGGATGGAAGTCATCAACAGCCCTGAAGCATGTGCAGAATTATGTTTCAGCCACTAGTTCACAAGGTCATGGTCAAGGAAGAGGTGGAGGACAAGGAATGGGAGGTAACAATGTTGAAAGACACAATTCTTCTCAATTTGTTGGCAGAAAAAATAATTCGCTATAAATTTGGAAAAGAGGGCCACAAATCTTAAGAATGTAGAAAATTAAATGGTAACTTACTGGCTAGCGGATGAATTGATGCTTCTGACAATATTCAAGAAGTTTCTGAAGATAATGAAGGGGATGAAAGTTTGTTGGAGTTTGCTAAAGATGAAGTCACTTATGAAGATCAAAATTTCCCTAATCTTGTCGTTCGACGTGCCATGTTAACTCCTAAAGTGACTGAAGGCGATTGGAGACATAACAACATTTTTAAAACAAAATGTTCTAGCCACGGATGACTTTGCAATGTTATTATTGATGGAGGAAGCTGTGAAAATATGGTGTCACAAGAAATGGTATCAAAGTTGAATCTTAAAGTTCAACATCATCCAAAGCCCTACTGCATAGCATGGTTCAAGAAGGGAGTCGAGGTAAAGGTGACACATCAATGCCTTGTTCCTTTCTCTATTGGAAAATCTTACTCAGACAAAGTTCTATGTGATGTGGTTGAGATGGAGGCATGTCATCTATTACTAGGAAGACCATGAGAATATGACAATAAAACTATCCATCATGGGGACATGAATGTTTATGCCTTCAATAAGGACAGAGTCAAAGTAGTACTTGCTTCAACGAATGATGAAGGCTTTTCCAAGTCTAAAGTATCTAGTGGATATTCTTATTTGAGCCTGCGAGAATTTCTGGCTAAATCTGAAGCTGAAGGAGTTGCTTATATTTTATTGATGAAAGAAGCAAAATGAGACTAGCAAGTTATACCTTCTGAAATACTCACTCTTCTTGAAGAATTTACAGGCACTTTCCCATCAGATTTGTCCTCAAGTTTGCCTCTTAATCAAAGTATTCAACATCATATTGATCTCCTACCTGTAGCTAGCTTACCTAATATGCCACACTATCGAATGAGCCCTAAAGAGCATGAAGAACTTCAAAAACAAGTGGAAGATTTTCTGAAAAAAGGGTTTGTTCGGGAGTTAATGAGCTCATGAGCAGTTCCAGCCCTCTTAACACTAAAAAAAGATTGTACTTGGAGAATGTGTATTGATAGTCGAGCTATCAATAAAATTACAGTAAAGTATAGATTTCCAATCCCAAGGCTAGATGACATGTTAGATATGTTGCATGGAGCTAAGGTTTTCTCAAAAATTGATCTCAAAAGTGGCTACCACCAAATCCGAATTCATGAAGGTGATGAATGGAAGACGACATTCAAGACAAAAGAGG